ACTAAGTTCACATACTTCCTTTTCTAATCACATTCAGAAATTGCTTATTAACTACTTTTCATCTATTAAGAAACCTTTGGATCAACAGGTCTGAAAACACTGGGTGAGTCTGCCTTCAATTCTTAATGAAAGAAAATGTTAACTTCAAGCTTAAGAAAAAAATTAAAACAAACAGCAAAAAGCTAATTAAGACTTTGATTTTAGAAAGTAATAAACAGATTAAGGGTCCAGATAAATTAGAAATAAGATTTTGGAATTAATTATAAAGAATCCTTCCCATGGGAAAGTTGACTGATTTTGAATTTTTTCTAAGACATAAAAGAGATAAACAATTTTAAAAATTGGACTCTCTCTCTCTGCCTGTTCCATAAGATCCAACGAAGTGGGCACACTTCATGTCCCATCCATTAATCTATGTCTCCTAGTAGAACCCAGCAAGCATTCTTTCTCTGTAATAGAGCCTGCTCTCTGGATTAGCATCTCCAGGGAATTTCAGACTGACACATATTGCAATCCTTTAAATTATCCTTGAAAACCTCTTCTTTTCTCTAAGCTCTGGGATAGGTCAGAGTGTATTTACTTGAGGTGTATTCTCTGTTTCAGTCATGATGCATCTTTGTTCCCTCTGTTATTTTTATTCTTTTTTGCTTGGTTTTAAATTTTTTGCTTGTTTTTTAATTTGCACATCACCTAGATGTACATATTATTGTGAGCTGGGCAGCCTTCCAAGTCTAAATTATAACTGAATTATAAATAATGCAAGGTGGCAGTAGGCTATCTCTTAGTGAAGAAGAAAATGTGAGATTGTGTTGTGCTTAAGGGAACAATACATAGCTAATCCTTTGTACTTAAATGCAACATAGCACTTTACTCACCTTCTCTTGTCCAGCCATACAACTTTTATTTGGAATTCAGATTATAATCTGAAATGGAATTGTATTAATTTATCAAAGGCCAAATCTAAATTCCATTTCAAACAAAGGAATTGAGCTGGCTTAAAGGTTGGGAAATCTTGGGTGTCATAGCTAGGAGGGACTAAGTATATAAAAAAAATAGATTAAAATTTGAGAACCCCTTAAGTGCCATGGCAGTGATTCCCAAAGCATGAGGAAGCTCTCCTATACAAAGAAAGGATATGCCAAGGAAAACTCAGCATGACAATCAGTAAAAGAGTGCCACACTTTGAGTAATGCAGGAAGTCATTTACACCTCTTTGGATGTGTAAGATTTATAGTTTTAAGCAGGTTTATACAATGAAATAAGTCCCACTGAGTTCAGTAAGTGGGTTATTTGATGGATCGCCTCTCCCCGATTATATCAGCCTGTCCCATTAGATCCGGCAGGGAAGGTATGCTATACGTCCCATCAGCCAGGGACTTGTATTTGGTGGGTCCCAGCAGGCGGACCTTCTCTGCCGTGGCTCCCTCCTTGTGGAACATTCTCCCTCCTGAAGTTAGGCTCGCCCCTTCCCTGGTGTCATTTAGGAATTCTCTCAAGACCTGGTTATGTCATCAGGCCTGGGGGTCTTTGGGAACTGGAGACATTCTTAGATGGCTCCACTATGATTGATATTTTGCTCTCCCCATGGGGTTTGTATATTTTAAAATCTAAATTTTTTAAAATTTGTGATAATGTTTTTATTCTAATAATAACTTTTTAACTTTTTATAATGCTTGTTTTTATTCACTTATTTTATTTAATTGCTGTACACCGCCCAAAGTTGCTTTGTGTGAGATGGGTGGCTATATAAATGTGACATACATACATACATAAAGCTTGGGCAGGATTATACCCACAAGGGTCAAGAGATCCTGGAGGCAACCACCCACTTTTTAAGAGCTATTTGTCTCACATGTTCACCTCCAGCAAGCATCCCCAAGGCTTTCAGAGCCAATTATAACACTCACCTTCATTTTCCCCATGGATCTGTACCTGCAACATACCTGAAGTGGCCTGTCCTGCATTTGACTGCTCTGCAGCAAGAAAAGGTGTCCAAGCCCCTTCAGCTGCCTTCTTGGCAGCCATCTTCTGGGCAAAGATGCTTTTCTTTTCAGGTCCTGATTTTGCCTGCAGGAATACAAGACAGCAGATCAAAACTTCACTGTTTTCCCATGTTTTCATCCTATAGTGGGTATTGGTAAGCACAGGTTTGTATATATACATTCTACGCACAAGAAAGAGATATCAGCAAGATCACAGGAGCCCCAAAGCTTGCAGAAGTATTAACAGTTAAGACACATATAGACATTGGGGACATATATAGTGTCCCCATATAGTACAAGGGAAACTGGCCACGGAGTGTGGCATGGATAGGGAACAGAATGGAATATCCTGATGTAAAGCATGACTAGCTGGCTTTTCTTACAGATCTCACTTGTATGACCATACACAGCTTATTAAATTTCCTGCCACTTCATCCAGTCAGATCAATATGTATTATCCACATTTTCTCTTGTATTTAATATATACTAATAGATGCTCCTTGATTCATGGTGCAGTCCTATGGATTTTTACTAGGGTTTAATCTGAGCTGTACTGTCTAGTGGGGGCTTGTTCCCTAATAAGAATATGAAGGAGCTCTGTTTTCCTGTATCCCAGTTTATAAAGATGACTCTGTCATCATAAACAGTTTTGATGAATTTTGCAATAGCATCTTCGCTCAGTAGCACCTCCTTTGTATCCAGGGGCTGGCATTTCAGTATCCCAAAGCACTAATTACAACCTGAGTAAAGCTTAGATGGTTCTGATATAAGGGGAAAAAATGTAATCCTCGCTCTTCCCTACAGACAGAAAAATTTATCATAATCCATTGTTACATGTGAAAATGAAAGGAGATTGATTTATGTTGGGGAATCAAACTTTAGGCTAAAATCCAGCAAGTTTCTTCCACTCCAGTGCACACAAGAGCTCTCTCCCCATAATTAACCTGACAGGCTGGTTATCCAAACGGACTTCATTTTCAAGACTAAACAAACTTCATTGTCTTGGAAATGCCATTTCTAAACATCTATGAACTGTAACAGGGCAGTATTTTTACAATAACGAATTGGATTAATGATGCTTATCCAAGCAAAATTTGCATGGTATTTACATGCAAGCATAGCCATACACTGATTATTTGAAAGATGACATGAAAACACAGTAGGATGCTAATTAACCTTCATGCTAGGGATTCAGGCAGCCACCAAGGAAAGAAAACAGGTTGTGGAAAGAGCTGATTCAGAGTGCCAAAGCCTCTTTGCACATGTGGAAGAAGATCTCTGGATCCCATCTCGTATCTCCTGCCCGATAATTAAAAAGAAACACTACACTGAGAAAACCCACCTACCATCAATATTTAAAATGATAAAAAACAGTACCATACACTGCCATGTTTGCAGTGTATTAAAAAGGTTGTCTAAAATTCTTAGCCTTCCTTTTAACAAGCTCTTCGGATACTCTTGCCTGTCAATCTCACGCTGCTTCCAAGGAGACAAAATCCAGCTTTCTCTCTTTTATCTTTGGGGATTCAGTTTTCTGAATCACAGCCGCCTAATCCTCCAATAATTAGGTGGATGGGAACCACTCCTGAGCAGAAGAAAACTGCAGATTCTATCTTCTCAAGTAAATAGGTAAGAAGTAGAAATTCAAGTGAACACAGTTTAAAACCACAGAAAACTAGGGAAAAGGAAACATTAGAACATGACATGAATAAGAAGTTGGAAAAAATTGCATTATCAATCTCACTTCAAGAATGAATTTGAGGTCATTTCGATAGCGTAAGCATCTCCAGGTTCTGTTCCCCAAAGCAACTTCTTCTTACCTAATAATACGTCAGACCCTGATACAGAAAGTTTATTTCAGAATAAAAGAGAAGAACACAAAATCCCATCTGCCGACAATATTCTTAAATCCCAGCACAAAACTCAGAACTAGAAAGTAAACTCAGAAAGTTAGTAGAATAAAAAGAGAAACAAAACTTGTAAGCAGAAAGCAAATTGGTTAATAAGAAGCTGCTTTTTCTTACCTCAGTTTTTATTTCAGATCTATGAAAAACTTGGGGAAATGGATCACCTGTGAACAATGGCATGGTCACCTTGGCAGTGCTCGTATCATGTTCCTGCCACAGATAAAGAGATGACATGTTTGAGTCTTATTTATCTGAAGTATGATGGCTAGCATGGCCTAGCAGAAAGAGCTGGGACTTACATGAAGATGACTCAAATTCAACTCTTTCTTCAGTGAGAAATAAACAGGTCTTAAATAAGCTCTTCTGGCCACTTAACATTCTCACTTCCCCCTTGAGTAAGAATGGTTTGCTTGTAAGACTAAATGGGCAGCTATTCACAGTCACTAAGCAATGACAACTCCATGCTTCAAGCAGAAAACATTACAGATTCACAAAGTAACTTCCATTGGTTGAACAAAACTATCCATTTCTCTTCCTGTCTTCATCATACATCCATCAAGTCTGTTCTATCTAAGAACATCTTATGAAATCTTCATGGTAAAGCACTTCTTTGCCATGCAAAAGATTCCAGAGTCAACCCTACACATCTCTACCTAAAGAAACTGTAGAGAACAGGGATAATACCAATCTCTGCTTAAAAGCTTGAAAAGACATGCTAGTGATACTGTATGTCACTGTAAATGCTAGCAAGAGACCAATCATCTGATTCAGTACTAGGCCCACTTTCTATAGTTTCAGTGGCCAGATCCTGAAAAACTCTTTCTACCATCCCAGCT